GTAGAGAGAGTTCTAAGACAGCCATGACTACATAGAGATAGATAGATAGATAGATAGATAGATAGATAGATAGATATATAGATAGATAGATAGATGATAGATAGATAGATAGATAGATAGATAGATAGATAGATAGATAGATAGATAGATAGATAGATAGATAGATAGTAGAAAATATCAGAAATCTATCAAAGATGCGAGGAGTCTCACCACCTCCATGACCCACACTCCAACCCGTGCATAAGTCCACAGGATTTACTCATGGATTCATAGGTCTCTATCTCCATCCACATTATCCGACCTCAGCCCGATATTCCCCAGGGACGCTTAGAAAACGGAATAGATCGAATCTCTCCGATGTTCAAATCTTCCCTGGAGTCTCCACAAACAAAAGTCAGTTCCTTAGACGCACTGAGTCCGCCCCCATCTAATGCCAGCAGGGGGCACTCCAGGGCTACAACTGTCATTGAGTTCAGGCCCGCCCACAAGCCTTGGGAAGTACAGTCTACCAGACGCTGTGAGTCAGAGGGGGTCGTTTTCTAGCATACAGATGTCAGAAATAAGAACCACTTCCACCAGTGTCCTATAGTCAGGGACACAGGACCTGCCCCTTTGGCTCCTGACCCAAGATCTCCAAGCTCTAGAACTCAGGGGTAGGCGGGCGATCACCAGGCACTCACCTGGAACAAGGCTCCACCCGCAGCCTCCACCATCACCATCGGGCTCCACTGGCCGGCGGGGCCCTGGGACATGGCCATTCCTACTCGAAGCCTGGATCAGGTCATACAGGTCGTCACAAACCTCAGATCCGTCTCCGTGACAGAGGACAAACGCTTCTAACTCTCCCGTTTTCCTGCCATGACCAATGCAGAAGAAACCAGTTTTCTGTGAATCAGACTGACAGATCCAGAAAGTTTCAAAGAAATCTCCTGCACGCAAAGCCAAAAGTCCCGCCCAACGTCGTTTTGTCGTCACCGAAACGCTCATTTTCATTGGCTGAGGTCGGAGCAATGTCTTCTGGACAATGTAGTTCAGATAGGATCAAACGCCAGGAAGTGGACACACCTGCCCAGATGGAGCAAGATACTCAGTCTAGTTGGGAGACTGTTTTAAAGATGTGCCAATATTTCCTTGAGCCACAAGGTCGGACTTGCTGACCCACTTAAGTTACAGAATTGCAGGCAGAGGCAGGTGGGTCCCTGGGGTTAGAAACCAACCAGTCACAGTTCCAGACCAGACAGGGAGCATTGAGACACCCCGATGTTTTGTTTTATTTAATGTTTATGTAAGATGCCTGAGAAGGGGCAGTGTTGGCTTATGGATTTTAAATGAAAAATAAAAATGAAGGATATGACTGCTCCTAGGTATGGTAGAGGAGAAGGTTTACTGTAGATAAAAGGGAGAGAATAGCCAGAAGCGGAGACATCTGGGAGAGTCCAGAGAGAACACGACCCTTACCCATGTGAGGAGAGAGGAGAGTAGCCGTTGACCAAGAGGAGCAGCCTGGCCAAAAAACTGGCATAACCAAAATGGCTGGGTTACACAGAGGAGCTGAGAGGAAGAAAGCCCACCCCAATACCTGAGCTAGGGAGCTCAGGGTGGGGGGTTGAGTATGCCAGCCAGGAGGGTCCTGTAGCAGGTTGAGATCGAGGGATGCTGGGAGAACCTGGCGGCCAGTGTCAGCTTTGATATGCTAATGGACACTTCAGTTAGCCATCTGTCTTGGGTTTGAGACCTAACAGATTTTTAAGCCTTTGCCTGTATATGAATGGTATTTGCCAGATCATTTTGCAAATAAAATGAAGGAATTATCGTGGAGAAACAAAGAAAAGACCTATTTGGAATATTTCACCACTGATCTCCAGAATTCAGACTCTTCTCATTTTGACACATCAGATACGATATTCTCAAGAAAACTTTCCTATTGTGCATCCCCGTGCTAAGGGAAATTTGAGGATGCATAACAGGATTCAGCCCTGCACATCACCATATTGTGGGCACTGAGGATGTGCTTCAGAGGACAGCAGCTTCCCAGGGAAATAAGAACACTGGCACAGAGGTAACCACCACAGTGTCTGCAAGGAGTCCCATTAACTTCTTATACGCCACCTCTCCAGTTTCCATCTCTGTAATTACCCTGTTCTTCACGGTGCAGCTGTCTGAACTACGTTATCCAGAAGAGCCTGTGCAGGAAGGTTGGGTGGAGGTGTTGGTGCTTGCTTGTAATCCCTGTGGATCTCTGAGTTTGAGGCTAGCCTGGTCTAAGGAGTGAATTCAAAAACAATCAAGGCTACATAGAGAAACCCTGTCTGGGGGGGGGGCGGTGCGGGTGGATAGGGGGCGTGAGGGGGGGGCCTTTTCCCTGAGTCTGAAATCTGCACCGCCATGGTGTGGCTGGTTCTAAACCTTGGGTAGGACCATCCCTTGTTCATGTGCCTCTTTGGGTAAGCCCAGTCAGCTGGTCTGTGAACTCTGGATGAAGTGATACATGATCCCTGGCGTACCTGATGTTACAGCATGCCGGAGTCAGGGGCGTGAGCCTGGGCATTGGGCTGATGTCCCCTGATTGTGATCCAGTCTTACACGGTTCCTGTTTTTATTTATTAATTTTAGTCCTTTAAAGATTGTACTTGCTTTCTGTACCAATATCGCTCCCGTAAAACATGTGAACATTCCTAAGACCCGCGGGACTTTCTGCAAGCAGTGTGGCAAGCACCAGGACAAAATGACCCAGTTCTAAGCGGGTTTTGTTATGAAGACAATAAAATCATGAACATTTACTTACTTCAAAAAAATTGTTTTTTCATTTGTGTATCTGTATCCATGCACTTGTGCAAGTCAGAATACCTTTTGCAAATGTCAGTTTTCTCCTTCTACCATGTGGATTCAGCTGTTTAAATTTAGATAGTTGCTTTCCCCCGTTAGCCATGTCACCTTCCCTGGATTCCCATTTTTGACATGTGTGTGCTAGACCAATGGTTCTCAACCTTCGTAATGTTGTAACCCTCTGTAAAATATCTGTGTTGCCCGGAGGTCTTAGGCAACCCCTGTGAAAGGGTCATTCCACCCTCAAAAGGGGTCCAAACACACAGGTTGAGAACTAATGTGCTAGAGTGTTGCACCTTCTGCAAGTAATTTTATTTTTGTTTGTTGTTGTTGTTGTTGTTGTTGTGTGAGACAGGGTCTCCCTGACTGTCCTGGAACTTGCTCTGTAGACCAGATTAGCCTTGAACTCAGAGATAATGCTAAAGGTGAGCCTCACCATGTGGAGCTTAATTTTTGTTTGGTGTGTGTGTGAGTGTGTGTGTGTGTGTGTGTGTGTGTGTGTGTGTGTGTGTGTGTGTGTAACTCCAGGGTGCTGGTATTAAAGAGGTCAGTGCCACACCCAGCTTAGTCTTTTTTTTTTTTTCCGGTGCCTCTGGAATACTGGGATTAAAGGTGTGCACCACCACACCCAAACCCAGCTGCACTTGTTCTTTCCAAGGATCTAGGTTCAGTCAGTTGCCAAGTCGACTGGGTCACTCCAGCTTCATGACATCTGATGCCTTTTTCTGGCCTCCACAAAGCCTCCAGGCATGTGCCACAAATACATACATGCAAGCAGACACTCATACATATAAAATAAAAAAAAATTTTTTTAGCTGGGTGGTGGTGGCCCACGCCTTTAATCCTAGCATTCGGGAGGCAGAGGCAGCCAGATATCTGTGAGTTCGAGGCCAGCCTGGGCTACAGAGTGAGTTCCAGGACAGGCTCCAAAGCTACACAGAGAAACCCTGTCTCAAAAAAACAAAATAAATAAATAAATAAGTTTTAAAACATGATTTTGTTGTGGTTGTTGTCGTCGTTTTAAGTGGGCTTGATTGAAATGAGAGGAGAGAAGGAACTGGCGAGTAGGACTTCCTCCGCTGTGAAGGGAGCAGGCAAAAGCACCTTTGTGTTGCTTACAATGCACTTCCTGTTTACTCGGGTAACATTATATCCTTCTGGGGTTTGATGTGGTTGAAGACTAGGTAGTTACAATTATAGTTTTCCTTAGTTATGATAAAAGATCAATTAGATATGAAACTTTAGACTCACAAAGATAGGATAGATGATAGAGTATTTTCTTTAATTTTGACAAATACAAATAGACTAAATATTGTAACTGTAATTCTTGCTTGATAACTCTTGTTATATGCAATTTTACTATGGTAAAATGAAAACACTCCTTTTTGATTGGACAGAAAAGGGGAAGTGCTGTGGGATGGTCTTCCTGTATGCTATGAATATGTGTAGCTCTCATTGGTTAATTGTGGGAGCCCGTTCTGGGGTTCCTCGTGGCTTTACCCAGCAGGTCCGAATAGAGGATGATCAGGACCA